GCGCAGTCCCGCCGGGGGCGGACCCCAGCCGCTCTCCTCGGCAGCCCTCCGCGTGGTCGCTTGGCTGGAGGGTCCGAAGCCTGCACCCTTCTAACCCGGGCGGGGTCTCTCTAGGGAGACCCAGGCTAGCTTCCCAGCCCGGAAACCGCAGGCAGAGCTGGTTTGTGAGATTGCTCTGGCTGCACGGGGCAGATCTGGGGGGACCCCTCCGGACACGAGGTGCAAGGCGTTCGTTCCTCGGTTCACATCCAGAGCTAAACCGGGAGGCGGATAAACCTGCCTTCCCAGAGACTGCACTGATACACCACCGAGGGAGTGCCAGCGAGGGAGGCCTGCAGAGCCGGGGCCCTTGCCGCAGTGACTGCCCACCCACCCGGCCGAGTCTCTGCAGCAGCCACATCATCAGCCGCCCAGGAAACTGTCCCAGTAGATCCCTGTAGTGATGTCAGCGGGCCAAGCTGTCACTGTTTGTACCCTGACCTCTTCCTCCCAGCACGAGGTGGGAGGCACAGGAGGCGCCAAGTAACTGCTAAGTGTTCTTGCATATAATGTTATTGAGTTATCACAGCACCCTCACGAGTCAGAGTCATCGCCACTATTTTACAGATGAAGAAAGACACTGAGTCTACTTTCAGACAGCTAAGCTGAGGTACCCTAACTGTCAGGGTAGCTCAGTCGGTCTTGAGTTCCCCTTTAGCTTCCATTGCACTTAATGTAAAAAGCAAAATTCTCCTAAACTCTGCGCCACCTTAGGCTATTAGCTACCCCCACCTTCTTCCTTCCTTGTCTCAAGCATTGCACCTCCTTTTTCTCAAGTATTCACATTGACCCCTGGCTGCTCTTTGAAGAGGGGAGGTTGGCTTTTTCCTCTGAAGCTGTTCTCATTCAGTGCATCCTCTTCTATTTTCGCCTTTAAGTCCTGTTTAAATTTAGTCCTTTTTTTTTGTCTTAAATAAGACATTCCTCAAAGAACATCTTCGATACTGCAGTTACCCCTTAATCCCCAAATACTACTTATTTTCCTCCAAAAAAACTTATCACCATTTGATCTGTCTTAGTATTTCATTTTCTTCTTGTTTGTTTGAGACAGGATCTCTATGTAGACCAGGCTGGCCTCAAACTCTCAAAGCTGCCTCTGCCTGCCGAGTGCTGGGATTAAAGGCACGTGGCACTATGCCCAGTGTTTTTTTGATTTTCTCAACTCTTTTCTTTTCCTCATCAAAGCATAAGCCATGAGTGCAAGGATTCTGACTTGTTTTTTTGACTGCTAAAGTTCTGGTGCCTGTAACAGGACAGACACAAATAAGACATTCAGTAAAGTCATGCATTACTGGATGAACACTCACTCTGGCACCCTCCCTGGGACCAAATCCTTGCTTAGCGTTCTCTAAGCCTGTCACTGTCTGCCTTTATCACCTTATGAAATCGGCTTTTACAAGCACTGAGGTCACCTTCTGATGAACCTCGTCCTAGGGCGGCTAGCAAACCATCTGCTGCATGACGAGCACGGTGACTTTGTTAGATTCATTTGTGTGCATTTGAACATTGTTGTGTGTCCTACCACAGCTGGATTCTGTGCTGCTTTAAGTCCACGGTGAGCAGTGTCTTTCTCGACAATTGGTACCCTGCATCATAAAAAGGACTGCAGTGCTCCGTGTATGGAGCATTTCAATGCTGATTACAAAAATTCTGGCAGCAGCAGAAATCTAACCCATTCACAGGGTCTCAGTTACCATTTTGGCTCACGGTTCCCAAAACAAGTCTGCAATTCCTGCTGCTGGATTTCTTCTGTTACTGAGATAAAGCACTCTGACCAAAAGCAACTTAGAAGGAAGAAGGTTCGTTTGGCTCGTGCGTTCAGGCCACAGTTCGTCAATGAGGGATGTCAGAGCTGGAACTCAAGTCGGAGCTTGAAGCAGAAGCCGTGGAGAGCCACTGCTTGCCTGGCTCACCCCCAGGCTCATACTTAGCTCCCTTCTGCAGCCAAGGACTGCCTGCTTAGGAATGGTGTTGCCCACGGTGGGCTGGACCCTCCTACATCAATTAACAATCAAGGAAGTTCCTACCTCCTCCAGCCTCAGACATGTCCACTTCCAGTCTGATCTGGGTAATCCCTCAGGGTAAGCTTGTCCCCCAGACCATTTGATGTCTGGGTGTTCCCTATTTGATGTGGAATTCCCTTCTGTGTGCTGTGATTACCATTAATGAATAAAGAAACTGCTTTGGACCTATAGCAAGGCAGAACTTAGCTAGACAGGGAAAACTAAATTGAATGCTGGGAGGAAGAAGGTAGAATCAGGGAGAAGCCATGTAGCCCCATCAGAGACAGATGCTGGGAACTTTACTGGGTAAGCCACAGCCACGTGGCAATATACAGATGAATAGAAATGGGTTAAATTAAGATGTAAGAGACAATAAGAAGCTAGATCTAATGGGCCAAGCATTGATTTAATTAATACAGTTTCTGTGTGATGATTTTGGGGCTGAGTAGCTGGGAAATGAACAAGCGACCAAGTGGC